AAACACTAACAATGAAGAAAAAGGAAAAATAAAGTTTTATTATTTATTATTATTTTATTCCTTCTCTTACGTAACGGGTCTACAAATAGCTATAAGCTTTCCCATCCTCATTTGACAAAACTACTATATTAAAAAAGCAAATATTCCAGAGGAGAGAATCCATCTATTATTGTACTCAACAGGTAGAAAGTCCACCAACGGCTTCCAGTCTCTTATAAACCTGTCTAGTTCATTGTCTGATCGAAGCAGTTGGTTTTGCCATCTCTGCTAGTTCAGACAATGTCAAGATCCATTCCTCCACAGTCAGCACAGGGCTTAGCAAGTACAATCCTCACAGCACTCATCATATAAAGTGATAACGTTTTTGAATTGGTTTGTCCCTAATACCTAAAAAAATTCTTCAGATTTAATATCTCTATCTTAAATATTCAGAAAAAACCAACAACCAAGAAAGTCCAGTGGCCTTTTGAACAGAACCTTTGGGCCAGCCCTGACCTGGAAGATTGAGAATCTTCACAGATAGTGAGGACCATTAATGGGTGGGATGGCCTGACCCCAGAAGCTGTGTAAGCTCCATCACTGGAGCTTTTCAAGGCATTCATTTGTCCAGAATGGTATAAGGTCTCCTGCCTTGGCCAGAGGGTTGGACTAGAAGACCTCCAAGGTCCCTTCCAGACCTATGATTCTATGACTATTCTAAATGCTGACTGCTAGTAAAGATTCTCTGCATTCAAAAAGGTGGAAATTCCCTGATTGCAGATTCCTACTTTTTGTGCTCTTTAAAGAGGCTGACTATTCGTTTTGGTAATGTTTGCATCCTAATGAAAAAATCAGAGGACATTAAAAGACATCTGTTTTAAACATTTAGATTTTTAAAACACAGATTTGGGTTTTTTTAAAAGATCTTTATATGTGCAGCAACCCTGACATCTACTGTGCAGGAGTCTCAACTGCACCCTGAAACACATTCTAGTTATTTGTTTTCTGTCTACATATAGTCATGCTGGCCACATGACCCCAGAAGCTCTTCAGCTGTGAATCAAAGATGAACAGCGCCCCCCTAGAGTCAGATACAACTGGCAGGGGAAACATTTACGTTTTTTTACTGCATCGGTAAGATTGTTTGATAGTTCTCCATTTCATATTTGGTTGGAAGATTTTCGGGGCAAGACAGCTAAATGAAGCTCACCAGTTTATTATTTTTATTTCATTTTATTATTTTATTTAATTTTATTTTATTATATTATTTTTTATTTTATTTATTCTGGACAAGATAAACATTTAAACTAGTACATATTAAAAGAAGAAAGGGGAAAAATAACAGCAGCAATAATATTATTGACAGATGGGGCGGAGGGGAACGCTAAGTACACAAGGAAAGATGGGGGTCTTTCCCAATCCAACAGCCACATCCAGAATGGTGAACCCCAGTGGGGCCCCCAATCCAGCTGGCAGAGCCAGGTTTTCAAGCCAAAAAGGAAGGGAGAGATCTGCAAGCTGTGAGTTATAAGAGGGAATGCAGAGGAGAAAGGCACGCGAATCATAACTAAAAATC